CATTCCTTTTTGTGAAGAAACCTCCAGAAGGTGGAACTATGCACGTTCATGAGGACATTATAAATAAAATTTAAGCCTTTTCCAGTAGTCTTTGCTTTCCTGATAAACAATAACTCATTTAGATTTCATCTGACGTTTTCTCTCATCAACAGGCATGCGGTAGATTCACTTCAACCACAGTGAATTAACTATAAGCAGCAGCGACTGCGCAACAAAAGCCTTCACACGGTATTCCGCAAAGTATGGGCAGAGAGATACATTATCTAATGGATCCAGTGAATGACTGAATAAAGGACTAAAATGTTAGCAAAAAAGCTAGTTTAACAAATTTTTTCGACTAGAAATTCAAAAAGAACATGGAATTGGTGACTGAAAACGCCCCAAAAAAAATATGAATCGGTCATGCACCTGGCTTGACCACTTCCGAATTTCTTAAACAGCAACAGCTTACCATGCTTGACGGAGTCAGGAAGGCAAAACTTCTGCGAGCTAACAGGATTATCGGACATCTCTTCCAAGTGATAGGAGATTATTTCACCCCTATAATAGCGATTAACTGGGTTCAATTGATACAAACTCACTTAGAGGTCCCGACAGCGAACCCTCGAAATCGACTATTGACGGAGATGGCAGAAGGTTCTTCCACAGAGGTCAACCAAACTGCTCTGATGAACTAGAGTTAAATTAAGGAGGGAAAGAGAATTCAAACAAACCTCAGGAACCAGTCTACATAGAGGGAGGATGACCAAGAGCAGCCTGCGATCTGTGAGTGTGGCAAGAAACCCGCCCAATGTGGGTGCCCAATGAAAGTCCTGACAGTTCACAGCCTGGTCAATATGATTCAGAACTGAAAGACTAGAGCGGTTGAAATAAGTTACCTGCATTGCTACCGAACTCCGATTGAATGGCAATATCATGAAGATCAAAACCTTCGTTATGAAGCATCTCTCCAAGCCAATTAAGACAAAGTACATGACCATTTCGATCTCCGACAATTATTTTACTGTAGGTTGGCATGCAACTTTAGAGAAGTGATAGCTTATCAACATCACAATTTTACCAATGAAATTGACCCAATTTCTGCAATGATTTAACTGACTTCACTGTTATTTCATAGTGGATTTGAGCAGCCCTATGAGACCGATTAGTAACTACCTGGACCATCCACATACTTTTCATTATCCAGCTGGTCCGACTCCCTCACTGACAAATAGAGAAGGCATATGAACCCTAAGTCGGTCTAGGAAAACTGAGGTGAGCGAGATAACTACTTTAAGAAGGAGGACATTGCCAGTGCTATTCCAATCGATAAATACCAGATTTCCACCGGTTTCCACAGCCTGAGGATTGTGTCGATACCGACCGAGAAGAGTCAGTGACTGAGAAACGAATGATCATGAAGAGGACATCTACCTTTTGACAGTGAAAGTAAATGTGATTATTCACAGATACAGCAACGAACCTGCCGTCGTCAGTGGAGGCAATTGAGCAAGTGAGATCATTGGGTAAGTCAGTAAGAATTGTGGGAGAATCCGTAAAATAGTACATTGCAACTTATTGAAAAGAAAACCAGATTCGCTTGCTGAGGAGCAACTCACGAGCTTTAAAAGCAAAAGAGGAACGCGAATACTTTAGAAAAGAAGGGTCATTAAGATAGACTCTACTCAAACCGCCGGATTAAATATTCGAGACAAGATATCAGCGACAAACCCAACCATTATAGGCACTTTTAAAGTCTTAGTGACTAAAAGTATGCATTGGAAGACACCGACTAACATCTCGAGTAGTAACCAACTCCAAACGAAAACAAGAGAAAAGCATGAGCGCAATAATTAATAGCCGAGAAACCCGACTTAAAAGTGCAAACTAGTAAAAGCTACAGACCAGATTCCACACATGCTAGCCTAAAGTGCGCAATCGACGTAGATTTCATTATTAATATTCTAGATTGCTATTCGCTAGGCGGAAAGCTAACATGCAGTCACTAACATAAATAAACGGCAACAGCTAAACAGACAGATACATTGGATTCGCAACAATTACTTCGCTAACATCAGGCGATTGAAAGACCCAATCATATGGTACTAAACAACTCAACCGTCAGTAATCAACCATATTCACCACATAGAAGCAAAGATGAAATGTCACAAAAGAATTACCCAATTACATCAGCGCGAATGAATCGCGCGGCACATGATTAGACTAGCAAAAGAGCTTTGATGAAACCAGCGAATTTTGGTATAAGTTTGCAATAGTCACATAAGGACACCCGGCTAAAGGTGTAAGCACAAATAAATAGTGGGCGAGACACACCGACGAGGCAGTCCTATAAGCATTCCTATTGCGGATTTATTCAGCTTTCAACGAAGCCACACATGCCTAGCACAAGTACACCAAAAAGAGTTTATGAAAGTTTAAAATAAAATTTAGAGTCTTGAGGTCTAGCGTCCTGAGACTTCCTATAGGGCGGAAGAAGGCAGTAGGTGAGGCCGAATGCATGTATTCCGAAGAGAACAGAGCAAATGGGCCTGAGCATAGCCTGGAGTCCAGCACACGAGTACAAGGACCAGACAGACACTAAAGTGACCGCCAAAGATTGGGTATCCATATAAACAAAGCATTACACGAGGCTTTCTCTTTTAAGCAGACTGCATTGGACATGGATCAATAGTTGCACCTAGGCAATGCGTGAAACTTTGGCTTGATGAAAACTAAAATTATTGCTAACCATACCGGTAGGTACATGAACAAAGTAATACATTTTCGTTCTTGGTACATCTCCAACACCAATCACCACAACGCATTTGGTACATCAAGAAACCACCAACTGCTTAAATGCTCAACACGTCGTTTTTTAAAGAGATTGGGTAACTATACTTGGTGTTTATAGGAGCTTCAAATATATCTGGGTATAAGTTTTGTCTAGAAACAGAAATTAAAGGTGGAAGATTCTGTTAATCATTATTTGTAATAATGACCAAACTTTGTAACCTTGGTCCAAAATAAATTCATGTTTTAGAAAACGGAATCGAAGACAGTTCAACGAAAATAGCCTCTTGAGACTTTCCATCGGGTGGATGAAGGCACTAAGTTAAGCTGAATACATGCATTCCAAAGAGGACAAAGCAAATAGGCCTGAGCATGGCTCGAAGGCTGGTCCACGAGTACAAGGCCAAATGAACCCTAACACAACCGCCAAACGTCATTTGGTCACATGAACAAAGCACTACAACGTAGCATCATAATCGACGTCTAAACGTGGATGAGCTAAGAGGAACTTCGTAACGAGACCTACCTGGCTGGTTCATTGTAGCGTCTCTTCATTTGCTAATTGTTTGTCTATGGAAAATAAAAATGGAGTAGAAACCAAACGAGAAAAGCCGTTCTCGGTCCTTTTGCTATAAAAAGTTTATGCATTTACATCTCGATGTATATACCCGGCAGTTGCATCACATAAGTTGCAAATGGTGTAGTG